ATAATTACACATTAACAGCTTATGTTGATTACATTTAGCTTAAACTTAAACGTTAATTAATACATTAATTAACAACATACTAACAGGTAATTAAATTAGCCATTGTTTTCTCATGAACTCTTGTGACTCATATTAAAATTAGTTCATGATTAGCGCACAACTTAACTCATCATTAATTTATAATAAAGTAATGTTTAGATTATATATTAATACTTCATTATTCATGTACTGTTTTTGTAAATGTTAGGGTTAGGGTTAGGGTTACATTTCTTATGTAGATGTAATGATCCGTGTCATGAAGAAAAACAGGTCTGTGGACACAAAGGATATTGCAAAGAATCCAGGGTGTGGTTCTACTAAACAGCATAATTATTTTTTTCCAGTACATGTTAAATGTAGTTGATAAAGTTTAATTAGGGAGTTTCTTGTTCTTAAATGTATGCTTGTGTTGATAAAAGGCTAATGCTCAGAAGTATTTAAAATTAACACCTAACTGATAATAGTATTAACACATATTAGCTGAAGTATAAGCTCTTTTAACTTATAACCTGTTGTACCTTGTTTTCAAACCATGCACTATGGTAAAATCATTTTGAGACATTTAGTTAACTGTTTTTTTCAGTATGGAAATTCTAGTGAATCATTCTAGTTAAATCAATTTGTCAAGTAAATCATTTAATAAGTGGAAAAAAATAAATAAATAAATGATGGAAAATATGTGACACTTCCTACATTTATGTCAAAATACAAAAACATACATATTTCACTGAAGTCGTAGTTGGTCAAATTAACACTAGAGCAAGATTATGCTCTTAAAATACACATTATGATTACAGATTACTGATTAATAAAGCCAAAAATATGTGTGTATGTTTTCTTTTAACCTATTTTGAATAACTTCCCAACACTGCTGTCAGTAACTGTGCCAAAAGACACTGAGTGGTTTTTTTCACTGCAGTAGTGTGAGCTGCAGCATATCTTGTTTGAGATGCTCATCTTTCCAACAAGAGCTTTTTGATGTCCTGAATCCTTGATGAATGCATGCTAATTACCGACTTTCCTGTATGGCACTCAGCATGCAGTATCGCATATGTTCACTTCCAGCCAATCATCTTTTTTTTGTGTTCCCTATTATTTCAACCCTGCTGTCCGATGTTTGCATTCGCATGTTCAAGTCCTCCTTCATAAAGCTAATTTCTGTTAACTTGACAAGGTACAGTGCACAGTTAACCACTGAATCTCAGTGTGGATGAGGGTGTATTGACTATGTGTCGAAGTGATGGTCTATTGGATCATTAGAGTGGATCAGATTGTGGGAAAAGGAGCCAGTGCAGGAGAAAAGGACAAACCCAAAAGTGACACAGAGGTGCCTGAGGACCCAAGCATGATGGGACGTCTAAACAAGATGGAGAAAGAGGTGAAGTAATTGGGCCAGACACACACACACTGTCAGTGTTTGTGTTTGGGACTGCATTTACTTGTACTGTTTATATAAGTCTTGAAATGTGTTGAATTTGTGTTAAACCCACATAGTGATGAGTATTTTGTTTGTTTTGGTTGTCATTTAGTTACAAATGTAGCACTTTGGTTTGTAAGAACACTTTTGTAATCACAGTGTGTGCAGATTTTTAGCTTTTTTTCTACTAAATATTGGTTCAGTATTAAAGGTTTTTGGACATTAAAGTCATTTACAACTTTAATGTCCAAAACAGCAACTTTTTTACAGATTTGAAATGGCAAAAGTTGATGAGAAATTTTGAATCTCAATCAATCAATCAATTGAAGTTTCCATGCCTTAGTAAAGAAGAGATCATTTGAGGTCCGCATAGACCACAAAACAGGGTATCTGCTTTATCTGTGTTTCTGTAAGTTACCAAAACCACACTAGAAAACCGTAAGAACACATCAGACACATACTGTATGTGTAGCACAATCTATCTTTCCAAATACATAACAGGGCTTTGGTGAATATACAGTTCACCAATGAGCCGTAAAAATACCAACCCAGGCTAATTGGAAATACGCACCACTGTTACACATTTCCAATGCCTGGGCTGAAATTTATTTGTGATTTTGGGTTTTGAATGTGGTTGTCTTTCCAATAAGTAACTGAAATGTAAGTGAATGTACACTACTGCTGTTACATCCACCTGAGCTTTATTGATATCCCAGTCTTAATACCTAGGGTTTCATATGGTGTTAGCCCATACTTTGCAGCTATAACAACTTTGACTGTTCTGTAAAGCCTTTCCTGTAGGTTTAAGAGTGTGTTTATGATGACAATAGAATCACATTTGTGAGGTCAGGAACTAAGGACAGGAATGCCTGACTCACAGTCTCTGCTTTAATTTATCCAAAAAGTGCTTAATCGGGTTGAGGTCAGGACTGTTTGCAGACCTGTCAAGTTCCTCCACTTCAGACGTGCTTATCCATGTATTTTTCCTGTACAGTCATGTTGGAACAGGAAGTGGACCTCCCCAAACTGTTTTAAACAAAGTTGGGAACATAAATTGTCCAAAATGTCTTGGTTTGCTGAAGCTTTAAGTTTCTTTCACTGGAACTAAGAGGCCAAGCCCAATCCCAATCCCTGAAAAGCAACCCCACACCATAATCTCCCCTCGACCAATCTATACACTTGATGCAATACATTCAGGCAAGTACAGTTCTCTTGGCAACTGCCATACCTAGATGTGATTGTCATAATTGGTCACTCCAGAAAACACATTTCTGCTGCTCTGAGTCCAGTGGCATCTGCTTTACATTCATTGCACTGAGCAATGTAGGTTTAGATGCAGCTGCTCAGCTATGGAAATCACCTTAATGAAAGTCTCTACACACTGTTCTCTAATCTAAAGGCCACATTTAGATTCAGAGCTATTGACTCTGCAGAAATTTAGTGAGTTCTAGGAACTGTGCGCCTGTCTGTACAAAGCTTGAATTTACTTGGCTCCAGAGAGCACACCATTGTTTCACAAATATTTGTAGAAGCAGTCTGCATGCCTAGTGCTGGATTTTATACACCAGGGGTCAGGGACATGCACCAGAATTAAATTATCTGAAAAGGTCTCCCAGAACTTATGGTAATATACTGTATATAAAAAAAAAAATAATTAATTTACTTGGGGCCTTTCAGTGTAGGCGGCGGGACGCTGTGTACCCGAATCAGACCATATCTAGCAGAGGGCGAATCAGATACAGACTCTGACCTGTATACGCCGGGAGCACCATCCCCTCTCTCGTTTACAGGGGAGGGAACTTTCGGGGACAGGATGTGGCCTGGAATGAAGTAGTTTGTTGAAAAGATTTCCTGGATGTAGCTGATTAATTAATTAATTAATTAATTTGCTGCTGTTTAACTGCATTTTGCTGTGTGAATGTGGCCTTGGTGTGTTCCTATACCAGTTCTGAACAGTCTGTTCTTGTGCAGGTGGGAGCAATGGACCTTAAACTCAACTTTTTGGTCAGCATATACACGGCACAAATGGGCATCCCACGATCAGAAACCGAAGCTCTTTTAGGCTTCAAAATTGCGTACCCTGCTCCTCCTTACCACAGCCCTGACGAGAAGAGTGAGAAAGTGCCGGATGAGGATGAAAACAAAGGCAAGAGCCCATCTCCCATCAACCCCGGACCCAACGGGACTCTGACTGAGAGTCAGTGTCGGCCTTCTACCTCATGGCACCAGCAGGATGAGCATCCCCTCAGCGTGCCTCTCTGGAACAATAGTCGAGGAGTGTCACCGATTGGTACCGATGACCCATCACTGTACCGCTTACCGCCTCCGCCATTCCATGAGAGCATGGACAACAGCCGCTCACGCAGGTCCAGGAGACCCGTCCAGCAGCAGGCTGCTGTCGAAAGTGACACATCCCTCTCCATTCCCTCAGTGGACCATGAGGAGCTAGATCGCTCTTTCAGTGGCTTTAGCATTTCCCAGGCCAGGGAAGAGGATTACGTGCCTCCAGTAAGTCTGGGGCCTTTCGGTGGAGGCGGCGGGACGCTGTGTACCCGAATCAGACCATATCTAGCAGAGGGCGAATCAGATACAGACTCTGACCTGTATACGCCGGGAGCACCATCCCCTCTCTCGTTTACAGGGGAGGGAACTTTCGGGGACAGGATGTGGCCTGGAATGAAGTAGTTTGTTGAAAAAATTTCCTGGATGTAGCTGATGGACGTTTTAACTTGTCATAAAAATGTGGAACTGATTACAGACTCATGCAGCAGGAGCTGTGAAGAATGAATCCCAAAGATTTTGATGTAAAGAAAAAAAATTCAAACACGGAAGCTGCAGGTGTGTGGATTCACAAGTGGAAAAGATTGTGTGTATTTAATTACTGGCATGGATAAAATCAAACAAGGCACCTTTTCTTTATTAGTTTGCGTAATCACCACAGCTAATGGCTTATTAAATGCACTTTATCTTAGAACTATAATTTTTAATCACAATATATTTATTTATTTATTTATTTACATTGTCTTTTTCTGAAATGTGTTATGAGACTGTTATGAAAACGAGTAGTTAATCAGGGCATGTGTTCGTTGAATTAACTTTGAATTTTAGTTTGAAAGGTTTACTTTGGAGAAAATAGTTTGAGCCAAAGAAAAAGACGATAGAAAGCTGAGCATGACTTACAGGTACTTTACCCTCTTACATTTCTTATCTGTAGGATGGAAAAATTATTAAATATTTTATAGCCACATTTAAAGTCAAAGCACTTGCAGAGAGAGACACACTGTACTTTAGGAAATATTGAAAATTGCAGATACCTTGGGGAGGGTCATTGGAGAAATACTCATGCTATTGTATGCAATCGGTTTTAATTTCCTAGAACTGGTAACTTGCACTATGATAACATATTTTATGCTGTAGTGAAGAGGGCACTAAATAAGTATCAGACCTAAAAATACAATAACTGCATGGCATGTTTATGGAATATAGCTTGTTGACAACTTAATTGAGATTACGGCAGAAAGAAATAAAATAAAGGACAAAGGAATTGGAAAAATATCTAATTTATTTATTTGTTTTAATTTGTCAGGTCAGTTTTACTTTAAAAAGATTTGTTTTTACAGGTGTCCTGTACGGGCAAAAGACCACGTACAGTACATCTACAGATATGTCACTTAACAAAAACACAGAAACATTACATCTAAATGTGGTTTACATAACAAAACAGGGAAATCCATGTTAAAAGACAAATATTTTTCAAAGCTGTATTTCAAAGCACTGTTTAAACATTGCAATATTAGGTTGCACTCTGTAAGGAAATAAAGTTGGTCTTATCTCTGCTGGCCTATCTACTTTTTTTTGGTTTATCTGTTTAGATTTTGCATGGTCCTATGCAATAGTTACGTATATGCATGCATGCAAAACTTTTATTGTCTGTTTTGAATCATGTTGAATACGGAAGATACATGTGTATTCAGTAAGTCCATGTTGTCTGTTGCCCAGGAGTAAGACAGCAGCCCCACCACAGTCACAAGACTCAATGCGAACACTGACCGCAGCAGGAAAACACACTGTAAGAGATCAAGACAGAGTTTGTTCAGGGTCTAAACGGTTAGGTTGTGTAATATAATGAACTGCTAAAGGTCTGCAAATTTTCAAAGCTCAAAGTACGAGTAAATGTCTGCAAAAAGAAAAAACCGCTGAAATCCCTGGAAGGAGTTGTCAGTAATTTCAGTCTTAATTTCTTCACAGGTCTATGTAGGTTTTTTGGAAATTTGCAACTTTGTTCTTTGGCTCTCTGTGAAGGCGGTCACACTTTTTTCCTCTCCCATATCTCTCCTGTTTGTCTCCTCTTGTCTCATCCTATTCTATCTCTGAGGTTCTCCTTTCCCTGCTCTTCAAACAATTAAGCAATTTTGAATTGGATCAACTGGTCCCTGAACGCAATTGATCCAATCTTTTCTACGAGAAGTCTGGGTTCAGGGGAACTCAACTGTCCTGCAGAACGTTTGCTGCTGGATACATGATGGACGGGTGGGAGAAGTGGCGTGTAGTATGCCTGGCCGCTCTGTCCCTGGAGGATATTGAAGATATCTAGATATTCGGATATTTGATAATAGGGATTATGCTGATGGGCTCAGGCAGAGGCCTGAGGTATCGACATTTAATGAAAGAAGTCAGGGTGGCTCAAAACCCCAAAAAACCTGAATTGAAACGGTGGTGAGCAGAGTTGCTACAAACCAGACTGTGGCTATAGACTGCCAATTAGAAAACATCAGGGTAAAACTAGCGGCTTTGCATTGTGATTTGGACAGACCTAGAGATCAGTGACGGCATTAGATATCTGCGAAATTGGCAGATATTGACATAAATTTGAAAAACCTTTTCTTTTCTCAAATTCTTCTCTCCACTTCGCTCTCCAATTTTGCTAAAAGTGGATGACAAATAAAGGCTTCATCATCATAATGGTGTTGAACCGATAGCCTCGTGGGCAGTGTGCCAACATATAGCACAACGTGCTTTGTGTATCCCAAGTTTGGTCTGTTCTCACAGACCTTTCCTAATCCTTTCCGCCTTTCTTGCTCCAATTTCGCTTCCTGTCTACATATCCTGTCCTATCACAATAAAGGCATAATGTCTGTCTATATGATCTTCATTGGCTGCCTGTAAACAATGCCCACATAGACACTCAAAAACTACAATTGGATCTGAGGCCTGGAAGAGTTTTTTTTGGTCTGCATATAACAAAGACACTTTTTATTGTGCTGTAAAAACAGATCTGTTTTGCAAACACTTTCAAATGAAAAGGACTTGAAGCAACACAATCATGCAGCAACCACTAACTTAGTTTTTTTTTCGGTTGAATTTGTGCAACATACGTTCAAAAGCATGCACCAACTATTATTTAATTACCCTCATGTGATTCCAAACCTGAGTAACCTTTGTTCATTTTCAGAATATAAATTAAGACATTTTAGATCCGAGAGCTTCCTCATCCTCCATAGACAGCAATGTCAACCGCTTCGAATGTTATCACTTGATTGAATGGACGGTATTAGTGGTTATCAGCTGATAGATATGGGCCAGCAGGGGACTTCTGCGCCTACTGATAGGCCTTGAAAGCTGTTATCATCCATTCAAATGGTTAATCAGCTATACTGCTATATAATCTATAGAGAAGACTCCAGAGGCAGATATGTTTTTACATTACTGTTAACAGTTGGGGTGGGAATATAGATGTTATTAAAATTCAATTCATGGAAAATTTAAGGAATAATATAAAAAAATTCTCGTTAACTTCCAGCCTCAGTTGTATATGATCTATAGCCAAATAACCATGTGGATAACAGCCTTCTGAACCTACTAGTAGAGGCAGAAGGCCCCTACTGGCCCATATCTATCAGCTGATAATCACTAATAATCCCCATTCAATCGAGTGATAACATTCGAATCTGCTGGCAATGTTTCTAACTTGTTCAAAGTCCATAGAAACACCACAAAATCCACAGACCACATGCCTTCAGCGGTTCAATCAGAATATTATCAAGCTATGAGAATACTTTCAGTGCACAATTTAGGTGAACTATCCCTTTAATGCCATCCTTATTATTGTTCTCACAACGCAGAACCTTTTGCATGCTAAACACTTTTTAAACCTCAAACAGCATTTTTTAAATCTGTATAATGTGTATGTATTTTAGTGTATGTGTGCAAGAGAAAAATAATATGTCTGCACATTTTATAAATGAGGCTCTGAGTTCTTGAATGATCCATTTCAAATAATGTAAGAAAATGGCTGATCGTGCAGTTTGTAGTATGATAAATGTTGTATTTTTTGACCTTGGATGGATGTAAACATAATATAGGAGAAAACCTTCAGTGCTGATTTACTGCACAGCCTGATTAAATGCAGTAAATTGCATTGTACTTGAATAATGGCAATCTCAGAACCTACATAGCTGTTTATATGATGAATGTCCGCACATTTTCTACATTATTTACTGTAGATGAACTCTGTTGTTATTTCTGCACTTAAAATGCAAATATGTTTATGCTTATGAGGACAAAAAAACACTTTTTTCAAACCTGTGCCCAAATTAAAAATTGAACTAAAATATGACCTTTTTCAATTTTGTTTATAGAGGTTTTATTTTTGGTCAAACTTTTTCTTTTTTAATCTTTCAGTTTAATATTTACCTTATTTCTCTTGCGCGGTTCCTTCAGCTGCTTGTCTGCCCTTTGTAAGCCTTTAAGTAAGACTTTGGGCCTTCCTGTGTACAAGCGTCTCTCGTGTGGTTCATCAGAATCACTTTGGTCCTGAAACACGCAGTGAGCCGTAAGATAGTGACACTTTGCAATTTCTTAATTACTTTGTGCTATGTCTTAACCTCTCACCTTTATCTTTAGAGCTCTGGAAGTATCCTCTTCTGTGTATGATTCCTGTTCACTGCTGCACGGCAATGTCAAAAACTAATTTACAAATCTGAAACATGAGTTGTATTTAAAGCTTAATTAAATTCATCTTACCTCTCATTATCTTCCTCGTTTTGAGAATCTTGATGCAGCCCATACAGACCTTTCTGACTTCTGTCTGTTACTGTCCAGAGAGGAAATTACATTACATTTTGTTCATGTACATCATTTTACAACATATCTAATATGTAAACTTTAAGGCCTTTATGACTTTTAAATCTTTTAAATCTTTCTTTTAAATGTTGAAATATAATTTATTCCTGAAATTTTAGTCTTTGGTGTTACTTGATCTTTCATCCTTCAATATCAATGATGAAAACACAGGACTAAATATAATGTTTAAAAGAAAACAATTTGTAGTGTCGTAAATGGCTTTACTGTCACTTTTTGTAGTAACTACCAAATATAAGTGTTAGTTAAATATAATGCAAATATAAGTATTAGTTTCTTTCCCAAAAACCATACTTACCTTTGTGTTTTTCTTGACCAGACTCTTCATAGAATTTGTTTAATGCTTCAGTTCTTTCTTGTTGCATTTCTCTCTCTATTTCGATTTTCAACTTCTCCAAGAAATCATCCTCATCATCAAGGATCGTCTTACTTGAGTTTGTTTTATAAAACTCTTCTTCGCCAATACCGTAATCGTATTCGTCAAACATTACATTGTCCTCATCCCTCAGAAGTGCACTAATATTTTCTAAAGTGTCTGAAGCTTGTCTGCTGTTGTCGTTGTTGCTTTGGTCTTGGAATAAACTCGATTCTGAAGGATGCTGCTCATACATGCAACATTTTGTGTTAAGATCCTCTTCACTGCTGTGTAAACGGCAACATCCCACACACAAATCAAATGTATGAGCTTATTGCACTAAACTAACTAAAGATATGTGTTTTACAAAACATTTTATTTACATTTTCAATGTCAAAACTATGGAAGCCATCTTACCTGTCACTTTCCTCCTCATACAGAGAGTATTTTGGCTCCAAACAAAATGTCACTAGTGGGGTTCGATCTGTTGTTATGAAAGGATTATACAAGCTGTTAATTGCTTTTTTTTTTTTTTTAATCCTTTAAGATATTAATTATGTCATAATTAAAGTATCAGTTCACCCAAAAAAATGATAATTATGTTATTAATTACTTGCCCTCATGTACTTAAGTTATAAATCCGCTAAGACCTTCTTTCATATTTGGAACATAAATTAATATGTTTTAGATAAAATTTAAGATATCTGTCTTATATCAAAGACAGCAATAGTTCAGAGACATTCAAAGTCCAGAAAAAAACCCAAAGAACATTGTAGAAACGTTCCGTGTGGCTTTAGCGGTTTAGTCCTAATCAAACGAAGCAATAGCAATGTTAGGTGCCAAAAAAACTCAGTAAAGGTTTCATAAGTGTACTTGGAGCTTTGTATGATTACAGTTGAACCACTGAAGTCAGATAAAATGTTTTGACAATGTTTTTTTTTTTGTTTCCTTTTGGTTCCTCCAGACTGTTGCTGTGTATGGAGGATGAGGGAGCTCTTGCATTTGATTTAAAATAAATCTCAGTGGATTGAAACGGCACGTTGATTGGACACATTTTCAATTTCTGGGTGGACTTTAAGAGTAATCTGCAGTTCTATTGTGTGTCACTTTAAATATACAATCTGAATAAGACAGGAAAGTTGACAAAGAAGGTTAAAACATTAGGTGCAAATGGGAATGGGTCTCCTTCGTTTACTTGCAATCTGATCAATCAAAGCACATATTTATGCAAGTACCTTTAAAATATAACAAAAAAACATGTACCTTTGTTTTCCTCGCCTTCAACAGTGTTGTAGTATTTGTTAAATGCTTTAATTCTTTCCTTTTCTTTCTCCCAGTCTCTTTCGGACCCCTCTCCTTCATTCTCCAGATCTTCCAGGAGACTGTCCTCTTCATCACAGAGAGCTTCTTCCCCATTAATATCCCAGTCATATTCATCAAACTTCAGGTTGTCCTCATCCATCACAGACCAAAATGTTCCAGGTAACAAAACGGTGATGTCTTCACTGTTATCTTTTGATTTGCAGGCCTCTGATGAATATAACTTACTACTGCAGGTTTCAGTTGAATGTCTCTCAGGTAAACCTCCCTTTTTAGATCCTGGATGAATGCTTGAGGAACTTACATCACATTTCTCTGAATCTGTGACTAGAACATCCCCTACTTTAAGCTCAACATCTGTTGAAAAATCCTCAATGAAGGTGTGATCTTGTTTCAGGAGAGTTGGCTTGTTTTTCTCTGTTTGGAATGGCAAATCAGGTTTTTCGTCTTGGATTTTGCAGTAGTCACCATCGCAGCTGATATCGCCATCATATTCGGGCTGCACGTTCTTGTAGGAAGCACTGGATTTAGATTGGACATTTGCAGCGATCTCAAAATCAGGACTTTCCCCAGCAATCGAAATCTCACTGCTATAATGGTCATCTCTAAAACTGACCTGCTTTATCCGGAATAAAGTGTCATCAGATTTCCTAGATGTGGTCGTCTCATTCAGATCCTCATTCTTGACACATGTAGGCACGTCTGCATGATCCACACTTACGTCTTCAGCATCTTTTCTTAAAGTTACAGCTTGGTAACTCATGGTCAGTTCTTCCATCTTCATCTCACCTGACCAACCTAAGCCATCGTCTAGCTTGGTGTCCATGGTTTGACCTTCACCACTGTCTCCACTATCACTTCGAGACAGATCAGAGGGATATTCTGCTAAGCCTTCCTCTTCTCTCTCAAGATCGTCTTCTGTAAACTCTTTCAATTCATCCCCAGACTGGACCTCTATTGATTCTACAGGCCAGTCTTGCAATGTTGAGCCAAGACAGTAGAGTTTATTATCATCCTTTGTGCTCTTCAGCTCCACCGTGTCCTCTTCTGATGTTGAGCTCTCATTTTCAGATTCATCCACCATCTGGTGGGACAACAGATGGGAAGTGGACTTCTTGTGAGACCTCATTGTATCCAAATCAAGTAGAGGCTCTTTTTGAAGGGCCATTTTCTGCATATTGTCATTTTCAGCTTGATGGATATCTTCGAATCCATCCTCTCTACTTTCCTCATCATGCAAGCTTAATTGCTGATCTTGGGTCGGTGTCTTATTTTCATCTGAATTGTTGTCATCCAATGAACCACCAAGCGTAGATCCTGGCTTCATGTTTTGTTCATCTAATGAGAAGTCGCTATTGTTCTCTGGACAGTTTTTAATTTCCTCTTCTCTATTTTTACACTCCAAATCTAAGTCAAACTCAGTTCCACTGTACTCTCTGTTATTTTTTTCATTGTCCTGCATATCTGCTGCATTTTGAGGTGTGTTTATGCTGTGTTCTGTTGTGGTTTCATCATCACAGTGCAAACGTTCAATATTTTTACTCTCAAAATCTACTTCAGAGTCCGATTCACTGGATTCTTGGTCACTGTTGTTGTCGTTCTCTATATCTGCCTCATTTTGAGGTGTATTTATATTGTTTGCTGCTGTGGTGTCATCATCAGAGTGCAAACGATCACTATTTTTACTCTCAAAATCTACTTCATAGTCAGATTCACTGGATGTTTGGTTACTGTTGTTGTCGTCCTCCATATCTGGTGCATTTTGAGATGTGTTTATATTGTTTTCTGCTGTGGTGTCGTCATCTACTTCAGAATCACTTTCACTGGATTCTTTGTTACTGTACTCGTTGTCCTCCATATCTGGCATATCTTGAGATACATCAACACTGTGTGCCATTGCAGTGTCGTCATCAAAATGTAGATGCTCAAAGTTTGGCTCTGTTTTTATTGTTTTAAAAAGCAGGTATATGTACAATTTAGTATTTATCAGAAACATTTTTTATCAGAAAGTTTATAGACATAAAAAACAACACAATCTAATTCAACATACCGAATGAAAAAAACACCTGTGCAAATTCAGTTCTATATAATCCGAGCCCATGTTTTTTTAAGAGACTCTTTTTTTTTTTTTTTTTTTAAGAAATTGATTATTGAGTCACAATACTTGTTGAATAATAGATTTAGTTGTAGATATAATTAACTGCACAACTGGCTACAAAGTGAAAAAGAGTTTAAATCTTACCTGGGAATGCATCAGTCAGAAAATCTGCAATGTTTTGGTCCATGTTTTTTAAAATTTAATTTCTTCTCGTACAGAAAAAATCTGATACAGACATGACAGACACTCCACTTAATGTTCCACCACTTGACAAAATGAGAGTGTGATGCTTACCGCTTCGTGACATCGCTTCCTGTTTAAACAGTGCCATGAAAACACGAACATGAACACCTTAAAATGTAACTAAAAAATTTACACTTGTATATAAACACTATTAAATATAAGAATCAAAGGGTTAAATAGATGTGTTTTAACCTATACAAACTTGATAAATTACATCTTACTAAATAGTTAGTGTGTTTGTGCACGTGTGTGTGTGTTTCTGCAGGAACTTCAGGCTTGTATGACATTTTCTAGGTTGTGGTTTGCAAAGTTTAACCGCAGCACATTGCCTCTATATTGATGCATCCTTCTTATGAGTTGCACGGTAATTTTATTCAGAGCATTTCGGCGTATTTCCGTCAGACAGTTTAGTTTGTGCTTTTAAAATGGGCAAGAGATTTTTTTACAGCTTCTACGTTGCTGCAAATTTGTGTATTCGGTTTAATAGCATGAATTATATATTGAAATTAGAGTCAAAGAAAACAAGAGACTCACTGCTTCTTTTGTTCACAACAGGGTAAGGGACTAGCATAAAAAGATTTATGTTAAATATATCAATCTACACATCAGATTTCAAGATTAGAGAACAATTTATAAACGTAATTTATTTTTCTTCAGAAAATAAAACTGACTAAAAATAGTAGGAAGATTACAGGTTCATCAGCTATTGACACATATACAGCAATAGCTGCGAACTATCTGAAAGGGTTTTTATTATTTCAGATTTTATAGTGTTCTCTCTCTCTCTCTCTCTCTCTCTCTCTCTCTCTTTCAAAGTTCAAGTTGCTTTATTGGCATGACATATATATAAATATATATATATATATATATATATATATATATATATATATATATATATATATAGAGAGAGAGAGAGAGAGAGAGAGATAGATAGATATACTGGGATATTTATGCACAACCATCTCTAGGGTTTACAGAGAATGTTGCAAAAAAAGAGAAGATATACGGCAGTTCTGTGGGGGAAAATGCCTTGATGATGCCAGAGGTCAGAGGAGAATGGCCAGACTGGTTAGAACTGATAAAGGCAACAGTAACTCAAACAGCCACTCGTTACAACAGCAATATACAGAAGAGCATATCTAAATGCACAACACGTTGAACCTTGAGGCAGATGGGCTACAGCAGCAGAAGACCACACCTGGTGCCACAACAGGAAACTGAGGCTACAATTCACAAGCTCATCAAAATAGAACAATAGAAGATTGGGAAAACGTTGCCTAGTCTGAGTGTTGATTTATGCTGCGACATTCAGATGGTCAGGTAGAGTTGGTGAAAGCATGAATCCATACTTGTATCAATGTGTCAGGCTGCTGCTAATGGTGTAATGGTGTGCTGGATATATTCTTGGCACACTTTGTGCCCATTAGTACCTGTTGAGCATTGTGTCAATGCCACAGCCTACCTGAGTATTGTTGCAATGTCCATCTCTTTATGACCACAGTGTACCCATCTTCTGATGGCTACTTCCAGCAGGATAACGCGCCATGTCATAAAGCGTGAATCATCTCAGACTGTTTTCTTGAGCATGACCAATGAGTTCACTGTACTCCAATGGCCTCCACAGTCACTAGACTGTGTCTTTGCCATGAAGGATTTAGGCAGTTCTGAAGGCAAAATGGGTCCAACCCAATACTAGTAAGGTGTACCAATTTAAGTGGCCGGTGAGTGCATCATACTATTACTACTTTATATAGTATTTATAGTAAATACACTTTTAAACATAACTTTTTTCCCCGATATACATTCATAAAAATTAAAGTTCTTTATTGACATTGATTGTTCCATGAATAATATGTTTTATATATTATCTTTCTATTGCACACACTGTTCTTTATAGTGAAAAGTGTTCTTAAGAGATATATCGGTAAGACTTTACAATAAGGTTCATTAGTTAATGCATTTACTAAAATGAACTAATCATTAACAACACATCTACAGCATTTATTAATCATAATTGAACACTTACTAATGCATTATTAACATCCAAGTCCATGCTTGTTAACATTAGTTAGTGCACCATGATTTAACATGAACTAACGATAAACTACTGTATTTTCATTAACTAACATTAACTAACATGAACAAATATAGTAGTAAATGTATTGTTCATTGTTTGTTCATGTTAGTAAATGCAGTAATTAACATTAACTAATGAACCTTATTGTAAAGTGTGACCAATATATCTTTCACACAAGCAAAAGGTCTTTTAAGAACAGTTCATATTTAGGGAACTAAAACGAATAAAATATAAAACGTTTTTATTTGTCGATACACAATGTCCTTCCAAGTAGCAACAGTCCTGTAGCAATAAATGATCACAGTATCAGGCTGATAATTATTTAAAATTAGTATCTGTACTTTGCAGGTCGTTTTCACAGATATGTATCATTTTACAGTTCATGGCGCAGGAGGTAGCGATGGTTTGCTTTTAAATCCACTTCTACTGGAAAGTGGTCACTGACTTCCAAAGCCTATAAGTGCAAAGAAACAGAAATAAATAAACATTTTTACTTACTCTTTAAAGAAATGAATAGATCAGTATAATTATTTACCTCTTCCTCAGAGAGATTAAATTCCTGTTTGAAGTTGAACGGTTGAGCGGATTCCGGAACTATCCCAGAAATGAGCTCTTTTCCATGAATAATAATCCTTCAGAGGGTTTTCAGAAAGATTGAACAGAAGGGTTATCAAATATTTATCGGCATGGCATTGTGAAACTGTGAAGTATAATAAAAGAAATGATATATGCTAAATGTATGTCTGACTCAGAGCAGCAGGAATGAGTCCCAAGACCTAAAAATAATGTTTTATTTGCCCTCAAGTCAGTTTTTTTTTTAAAGGTCTTGCTCAAGAATTATTTTTTTCTACAACATGTACAACATCAGTACTGTCTGACTTGTGCTTTTAGATGTTATAAAGTATTGTTTGCTTACAAGCAGCTCAAAAGGGTGTACAGACTAGAAAACTCATCTAATTTTAGTCCTTTTTTTGTTTTCGTTCACATTGCTAATTATTCTACAGTATATAATATTTGAAATATCCAGGCCATTAGAAAGTCACATCAAGCTAAGTTTATTCTTATCTATTTTTTTTAGCTCCACATTCTTTCTGTGAAAAATTCCTTGCTTTATTAAACATCACTTGAGAAATATTTGCACTTTAAGTGAATCAAAAAAGTTTTTCAAACTTGTTTGTTCAATAGTTTTGAGACAATTTTGATGAAAAGTTTTTAAATGACTTGCTGATTGTGGTTTATGGCTTATTTTAACAAGGGTATTTTTTGTTGTTGAGGAGAAAGACTTATCCTTATGGAAAACATTTCCAACCAGTACTGCTGAAGAAGTGATGCAATCCTCTGATTTGGCCTACAATATAATGTCATCCCTGCAGCGCTTTGTTGTCTTTAACATCACTGTGTTGGTTTGCTGTACCTGTCATAAGCGCAGCGTGTTTTTTCACGCACTGTAGTGTCTTGTTCGTCTCTGATCAACCAGTGGAACTTTGGGTCACTCCTGAGACGCACATTTCTCAGTCCTTTATTAGTGACGTAGTTGCAGGCGGCATTTAAGTCTCCCAGAAACATCACATTCTAGATAAGAATGATACAAACATACAGAGAGGCCATCAGAAAGGAAAATAGTACAATTGCATTAATTTGAACAAAAAGTTTAAGACTGTGGTGTAAAAATAAAAATGTTTGGGGGAAAATATAAACAACATTTTATCAAGAGCAGAAACTAACAGAGCCATTTAAATATGAAATTTACTTAAATTTTTAGTTTTTGATTTTATTTTAATTTTATTTGTTTATTTTTTATTTTTTTGCAGATGTTAGGTGATGTTACGTAAACATACTATTATGCTAATGAATATTGATAAAATTGGTAAAAAATCTATTAATTATTTTTACTGGTCACTGTATACAATCTAATATATTGGATACGTATGTATAATTAAAATCCAAATAATTAGCTCTCTTGTGAAATTTTATTAGTTTTTCAAAATTTCCCAAGTGGTGTATAAAAAAGCAAGGACATTTTCCTGTTACATTTGAAGAGTGACATCTGAAATTTCCATAGAAAATTAATCTTTTTCTCAGCCTCCTGTGTTTATGTTGAGTCATTTCACTTTAAAGACCATGAGAAGGACTTATCCTGTGCCATAAAAGTGAAATTACTGTTTGCATCTAAACTCATTTTTTCATCTAGAGAAAGTATTATTTCTTTTAGTTAGGCTGGAATAGAAGCGTTTTTTTATATTATATATATATATATATATATATATATATATATATATATATATAAGGTTAATATTAGCCTCATTAGGAAATTATCTTATTCAATTGGCTACAGAACTAACCATTGTTATACAATGACTTTTCTAATTAACTTAACATACCTAGTTAACCTGATTAACAAAGTTAAGCCTGTAAACTGTACTTAAAGCTGAATACTCGTATCTTGCAAAATAACTAGTAAAATATTATGTATTTTCATCATAGCAAAGACAAAAGAAATTAGTTAGTTAAACTACTGCACTATAAAAAAAATCTTGCTGACTTAATTCTTTAGTTGAATCAAATTAACTTTTTTAGTTATCTCAACTTATATTAAAAATTTGTAAAAAAAAAAAAAAAAAAAGGGGGCCACTTAGGAAATCTTTGAAAAAGAATAAACAGGAGAGCTAACAGTTTTCTCTTCAACTGCATTTATTATACATTAAATATGTTTGCTGTACCTCAGTTTTCCATTTCTTCTTGACGGTTTGAAAGACCTCGTACAGTGAATCCATTTCTTTCATTGCACTCTTAGGAGAGGTGTGCTGACCAATCAGGACAAAATTCTTCACCACTGTAAGAAGACACAACCAATCAGATCAAACATATGCATGCTGTTTTATTCTGCTGGTATTATGAGACTTACAGGTTGTTGGAGAGTGGACCAGTATGATGAAGGGCTCTCTGGAAAAGACTTCTGATGCACTTTCATTGACCTCTGGGTGCTCGTATTGCTCTTGCACCTGTAGCATGTCTTTTCTGTCAACACAACAATTATGTTCACTGCAGATCACTTTCATTATAATGGGTATACAAATCTGTGTATATTTAATTTTTTTTTTACCTGTAAATATACACATACTGCTCTTTGTATGTTTTCTTCCCCAATCTTTTACTCTCTAAATGGGCATAAATATGAGATTTGTCGAATCTGGAGGAAGGAAAGGGAAAACAATGTGTTGGATGTTCTATATTCATCAGTGAAACCACATTGAGTAAAAATCATGGTTAAGTCTCTTACTGAAATCAGAAAACTAAAACCATTTATAAGTATTAACTAAAAAAAAGTAAATATGTGAAAAGTGAAAATGGTTTACATGGAGCATTTTTAAATATCCTTTAAATACTCCACCAAGAAAAAAACTGAAATGCATTTCTTAACTTAATGTCGCTAGTTAAGACACTCAATGCATTTTTATTTCAACATCCCATAATTTCTAAAATATCAACATTTACCAAATGGCTGATATGTCGGTTTATGGTAAAAATACTGGAATTAATACTTATACTATTAAAATCTGAAAATATGAAGTTTTAGACCAATTTATTTAAAAAATATTAAAAATTAAACATTTTTGAATACTAAATCACCTTTATTTTTTTAAGTTTGCTATAAAATATTTTTAGATTCTTGTTTAACATGTTTTCTTTTTGTTTTTTTTTACAATAAAACCACAAGCGCAGTAGTGCAACAGAACTGTGTAATGTAAACTATTATTTAAAACAGTTATTCTTTTAATGACTTCAACAGTCATTATTTTAAAACAGTCAAAATATGGTCAGTCATTTGGTAGAGCAGGCAGTTAAGTTAATCTTACATTATAATAATTTATTCCCTTGTTTCATTGAATTCTGGCTATATGGTAAGATTTGGTTCATTTGTTGTTAAATCCATTTTTTTATTTATTTTTTTGTATTGTGAGCATGATTTATTAAAAAGAGCAAAGAAGTTAATTAACTTTTAGGATCAATATGATTTTTCTTTTCTTTTTTTTTTTTTCTTTTTTTTTTTTTTTAAAGAAGCCAATTGCTCACCAAAGATGCATGCATAGTTTATATAAAATAAAAAAATCAGTAAAAACTTGTGAAATCTTAATACAATTTCAAATAACTTTACTGATTTTTACAAAAACACTTTATTTTGATGGGCCATTTGAGTATTTGTAGACGGTCTGCTTATTCTCTTTTTTTTTTATTCTTTTTTTTATTATTTTCTTTTAAAGTCCAGTTCACACTATATAGTATAGTATATATACTATATAGTATCTGTTGATACTGCTCCTTTAACATACATTGAACTGACTATAAAAAACATTGCAAGTACATGTCAATTTACACTAACACTAACCCCAATCTAATAGTAATCTAATCTAATAATCTAATATACAGTACTCAGCATAATTGAATACACCCCATTTTTTAAATGAATATTTTTCTCAGTGAATATATTAGGCAATGTATTTTGGTGCATTTAAACAAAACATTAAACAGATATATTTATTCAATAATATTTTAGTCACCAAACATATTTAGAAATTAAGAGATAATACAATTAAATTTAAGTAAAATATTTTTAAAAAATTACAACCTACAAAATTTCAACAAAATGTATTGCTTCTGTTGATTTTTTTTACTCTTTTTTTTTATTTGTATATGATATTTTTCTATAACATATAAATTTGACTGTACTTGTTTTTGGACTGTTATCATACGTTTTTCTTGTTCGATAATATATATATATATATATATATATTATAAATTACTTCAAAAGTAGGTGTACCCATTTTTGCTGCACACTGTATATATGTGTACACAACTAATAATACAAACTAATATAAGTAATATTTACCTGTTCAGACTCATCAACAGTGCAGAAATGGCTTCTCCTCTAGAATCTCGAACCTCTTGAATCAAACTCAGGTCACAGCGAGAAATAATCTAGAAATGTACAAAACGCTTTTAGAATTTCCAGCATTTAAGATAAACTTAATTTGCAATCTCTAAAAACACTTGTACCTTTGTCAAAATCTCCATAACTCTAGTATTGCTGGCCTTTGCTTCTCCATAGCTTTGGATGTTGAAGGCGCAGATCTTCAGGGAAATTACACAAGTCCACAAACACAGTCCAATAAAACACAGCAGAAGAGGCGGCCTCATTGATCACAACCTCTAGAAATTCCTGAAATTACAATCATGAGATGAAACATCACAATATTAAATACAATAATAGTATTAATCAAATTTGAAAATATCTTTATCTTAACCTCAGGCTTACAGCACTGTCATATTGTACATTTTTTGAACAGCACTTACAGTTTTGCATCATTTTTCTGCTGCAATTTAGTCATCAAAAAGTATTTTGTCATTCTAAGCATATCAGAAAATGCATTACCACAAAGGCATATGAAATGACTCACCCTGTAAGATGCCTGTCAAGCTTTTCTGAGTGATCTAGAGTTGTAGTGGATGTTTTTTCATTGGTCTCGGGTTATCTCTACACAGGAAACCATGGTGCAAAGTTGTGTTGGGCAAGAGGAGGGGCAGTGTGTGAATGTGTTTAAATGAGCTGTGTCAGAGCTCCAGTAGTGTGCAGGTCAGTCTGGAACACTAAAGAGAGTCACCTGTCATGACAATGTGCTTTTCAGCCATTCAACAGGATGGTATTGTTGTTTTATTCTCAGTGTGTGCTGCAAACTAAAAGAAGCGCAGGCTCCTATCTGGAAATCATCTTTTAGTGAAACAAAGACACGGCTCGAAATACAGATACAATTTAATACTTATGGCAAAATACAAAGCTTACAAAGAGAAATTGTTCAAGACTTACAATTGTGCTTGAACAATGGAATGTACCGTTTTTAAAATCATAAATATCATAAATGGTACAATTTATATATGGGATACAGATTTAGATATTAAGGCATTATATCACCTTTGGTTTGTGATATAAAGCCAGTTATACACAGGTTTGGTCCCTTTTTTATGGAAGCTTGTTTCACAGAAAAATTTACAAAAAAGGTAATTGCGTGTTTATTTCTCACATTCTGGTTTATTAAATCACAATTGTGACTGTATTGTGCAATATCATGATGTAAACTTCAATATCATGATTTAATCAGGAGGAAAAATATAGAAATTGCTAAAAGTCAGAATTGCTAGAAATCTTAAAATTGAGGAAAAAAGGTTATTTCTTAGAAGACAAAAACAGAATTTGAGATATAAACTCATAATTGCATGAAATAAAGTCAGATATCTAAGAATTTTTTAAAAATGTTTGAGTAAATCGAAATCACAAAAAATCTAATAAATGCAGAATTGTGTGGGGAAAAAACATCTTTCTCAGGCCTGTTGCCCGAAGGGGTTCAAGTGGTTCGAAAGACCCACCTATACCCACTAAAAAAGTCCAGAAGTTGACCCCTATATAAGCTCATTTATCCCATTTTTGACTGCTATTCCATCATAAATTGTGAAAATTATAGATAGAAGAAGGCTTTAAGACAGTTTTCAATTTTAATTATTCAAGTGGCCAAATTCTGAAAGTTGAACGAGCTGGCCAGTTTTTTTTTTATTAGCCCAAAGGCTACAGTTTTTATTTTAAAACCAATTTTACCAGATTCCTATTTGTTTTAATTGATGAATGATAATAAATTTGTATTTAAAAATATATATTTTTTCACATTTCTTTATTCATTCTTTTTAAATGCTAATCGCATAACAATACTTATAAAACTGGATTAATTTACAGTTTAAATCCTTACAATTTAGTATTTTAAGTTTGTTAATCTTCAACTTTATTGATAACCTATATATTTATGACACTGGCTGAGTATTGTCATCTCTTGTTTATATGTTTATGCTACATATGTTGTGTGTGTGTATATGTATATGTATATGTATATATATATATATATAAAGAGACGAGTGTATATGAGTGTGTGTGTGTGTGTGTGTGTGTGTGTATATATATACACGCAGCAGATGGCCTTCTTGCTGCAACCCATCACTGGGAAACATCCACACACTTATTTACACTCATACACTACGGACAATTTAGCCTGCCCAATTAACCTATACCACATGTCTTTGGACTGTGGAGGAAACCGGAGCACCCAGAAGAATCCCACACGAACATGGGGGGCACATGCAAACACCACACAGAAAAGACAGCGCTACCCACTGCATCACCGCATTGCCTTTAAATATCTTATAAATTTTAAATGAAACAAAATATTACAAAACAGTTTAAAATCTACATTTGTAAATAATTACTTTGTTGTAAAATAGTAAGGTGAGCACAAATTGTAGGAAATATTTTTGGGTCATCAAGAAAGTGTGGTTATGATCACCATCCGACAAGCTGATCCAGCAAAGATTAGTTCTTAAAATGTCACTAAAATGCATAATTGAATAGAAAATAAGGTGAATAACTGCAAAAAGGTCCACTTTTTCAGAAATAAGAACCACCCCCTTCAATAGACTGGCTACAGGCCTGATTCTGATGAAAAAGTCTAAAGTAAAATTTGCTATTGCTAGAAATAGTCACAATTCTAATTTAATTACTCAAAATGTGAAAATATAACAATTGTGAAACGTAAACTCATAATTCTGATAAAAAAAGTTAGGGGGGATAAGTGATGTAAACAATAACAATGGTCCTAACCTATTTCCTGTATTACGTTTTTAATTTCTAAAGTTTCCAAGAATCCAAAATGTTCACATATTGATAAATACTGTTATGATAGCTGTTTCAATATTAATAAATAATTAAATTGCCTCTTGTTACAGTTACAAAATAGTTTGACAACAAGGAAATGTTCTTGGGCCAGTGACATCGCCACATTGAAATGGTCTATAGATAATCTAAAATTGCTAGTAAGCTTATTAACTTGTGAAAGATGTGAAGTTATTCAGAAGTTAAAGATGTAAACTCATAATTCAGAGTATATAATCACAGAAGTGTAATTTTTTCTTTGTAATATAAAAGCTGAAATAAAATGTCGCAATTACCTTTTTTTAACCTTGTGACAGACATGAGCTTCCATTAATACTAATACTTGGCTACTAATGCAAAGAAGTACTTCAAGTCTTGACTTGAAAAAATACACAATCCATTAGAAACATAAAATAATAACTATAAAATATAAATATGCACAAGAATTCTCTATTAGCCACTTGATTTTGCTGTTGTCACACAGGTCTAAAGCAGAATCTGTTGCGAGTGGATGCTGTCAGTATAAGGTAGTCCTCCAAACGTTCCTCCAGCTCAGAGTAAAGATGGCGGAGCTGTTCTCTTATAGGCGGATGATAAAACCAAAGCACCGCCAACACCATGGCCATCAGGATCAGTAAGAGCACACACATACACAGCCACGACCTACAACATCCACTCTGTACAAAGAGATAAGTGAAGGGGGGGGATTATTGATGGTATTGAGAAACCAATCGAAATGGAGATGAAGTGTGAAGGGTGTTGAGTATGATGTATCACTGGTTTAATCTGAATATAAGGCATGCACAAAATAATCGAAATAGAAAGCAGACTGAAGTGAGGGTTGTATGTAGTTTGTAGTGTCTCACCCTTCTCTTCTTCTGGCGTGTGGCCATTGAGTTCATTTCTTCTCTGCATTGGGTCAGTCTAGATTGATAGCCGTAACACTCCTGCTCCAAAGCCTCAAGATCTGCCTGCAGCTCCATACACTGCCAACAAATGAGGACCGGTTACACGGCATCTAATTATAATGTTTCTGAGAGAAAGCTAATGATTTTTAGAACAGTATGTTTTTGACAGAATATATATTTTATTTTTATTTCTATTTAATGTTTATTTTAATGTTTTAATAAATGAATAATAATAATGCATTTGGTTTGTAATGCATTTTTCTAAAAATCTAAAAGCCACAAGTGTTTAAAAAAGTGCAACAAAAAATAAAAAAAATTCAAAAAGTACGAAATAAAAAAACAAAAACAAAATGCATACAATTAAAAGCAAGCTTAAATATATGTCCCTTAATTAAACTTTATTCAGTAGTGCGTTTTGGACATAAAGTGGAAGACCATTCCATAATATGGGGGCTTTGTGTGAGAACTCTTTCTCCCATAGTCTTTAGTTGATAGAGCAAAAGAGTAAGAAAAGTTTAGGAGTTTTCCTCCATCTTAAATGATTATTTAGATAGACTATGCTACCATTTTACAGTCACACAACATGGAATAAGGATTTTTTTGCCACTTTAGATTATGTAAATATTTGAAACACGTTTCTTACATGCATACAAATCTATTATCTTTATGGGAAACAACACAAGAAACATTGTGACGTTTTTCCAATAAAAAAATAAATAATAAAATTTATTTTTATTAATAAAATGCAATAAAAGCAACTTTTAAACATGCCATGAACTCATGGGCAAAGCACAGCAATTAAATATAGTCAAGTAAAGGTACAGATCATGTGATAAATTTACTCTATTCAAATAAAAGTACTCCAGAATTTCAGTATTTTCAAACGTTCTGTAAAAGAAAAAAGTACTGATCATTCATTCGTTTTTTCAATTTCCTTCAGCTTAGTCCCTTAATTCATCAGGGGTTGCAACAGCGGAATGAACCACCAACTTTTCCAGCGTATCTTTTACACAGCAGATGCCCTTACATCCTAAACCCAGTATACTGGGAAACATTCATACACAACCATTCACAACAATACACTACAACCAATTTAGTTTATTTAATTCACCTATAGCACATGTTTTTGGACTGTCTGGGAAACCGGAGCACCTGGAGGAAACCCACACCAGCACAGAGAAAATATGCAAACTCCACATAAAAATGCCAACTGACACAGCCAGGACTCAAACCAGCAACCTTCTTGCTGTGAGGTGACAGTGCTAACCACTGAGCCACCGTGCTGCCCCTAAATATATATTTAAATAATGTAAATTACATAATGATTTTGTAAAACTATTATAATTATTATACATACAGTACATATAATTGTACAGTATAAAAATTATACATCTATGAGAATTCCCCAAAAAGATAGCTGTATAAGTGTGTGTGTGTAATATGAAAGCTGTATAAAGAAACTTTCCATTTATTTATTTTATAGGACAATATTTGGCTGAGATACAACTATTTACTTTTTTGTGTAAATATTGAGAAAATCGCCTTTAAAGTTGTACAGATTAAGCTATAACAATGCATGTGTTATTAATCAAAAATAGGGTTTTGAAATATCAACAATAGGAAATTGACAAAATATCTTTACAGAACATAATCTTTACTTTAAACACTAATGTTTTTTGAAAAAAAAAAAAATCTATCATTTTGAACCACATGTTGTGTGACGTGTGACCCATATGATATGATTAGCTAAAAATATACTAGACTGGTTTTGTGGTCTAGGGTCACAAAATGCAGTGGCACATGGAGTACAATGTGCAGAAGTTAAAGCTTCCCAATTTATTTTTATATAGTTAAAGATGCTAAATAGTGGCCACCTATTTCAGTGGCAGATCTTTACCTCTTTTTCTTTAGCTCTGAGTCTGTGTTCTGCATCTCTCAGATGTCTTGCTGGGCTGTTATCTGTTCGCAAGAGCTGGTCCAATACTGAAACTTCTTCGTGTGTTTCTGTGCTACTGTTCCACCCCTCATGGTTGTTTCCTTTAAGTGTGTGAGAAAGAGAAAGAGAGAGACGTATAAAGACGTATGAAGCTACATTAAATGAAAGATCTGCACAGATGTGAGGTGAACCTGTAAGCTCCTGTAGATACTCTCTCAGTGTGAGGTTTTCCTCCTGCAGCTCTGAGATGCAGGAATGAAGCTCTACTCGTTCCTGCTCAAGAGATTCGCTCTGTTTCCTCAGCATCTCCTCCTGGCCCACAGAACGCTGCACAAACATTTACACAACAATAAAATGAAACACATCAGTGCATTCAGCCACTGACATACATCCCAGCAGGCACCTTGACGTCAATATGAGATTAAAAAAAAAAAAAAGCCAAAATTTTTAATCAATTTGATCGCCAAAGCAACATCAAATTGACATCTAATATTGATTTTCGACATGTTTTTGACACCAACGTTAGCTCAGTGTTAGACATCGAGGTAATTTGCATGCATTAAAGAGACACAGAATTCAGTGTAAAGTTGTAATTTGAAATTTAAGCTTTAAGATTAATTAAATTTTATGTCAAATAGATGTTAAATTGCTAGGCTAAGCATTTTTGACATATTTTTTATGTCAATGTCTCAATGTCTCAGAGCAGGGATAATATCTGCCTGTTTTAATAACAAAAAAATTGTTAAAGAAATGATATTCATCACAAAGTATATTATGATACATTCTTGGATTTTCTGATCGCCTGTGATGAAAGCAAGTTGACCACATTCTTGTGGTGTGTCAGCTTCTTTGATGTGCTTTATGTCACTCAAGACTGTCATCATTGTTTGTTACAGTGGTTTTGCTATACCTCTAAATGTCCCTGCAGCTGCAGCATTTGATCAGTGCTCTCATCTTGTCTCTTTTTCATCTGACTGGAGCTCTCTCTCAGCTCCTCACACAGCCTCTGCCAGTGCTGAGACTCTGACTGTGATGTCTGCAGCGCCCCCTGCAGGAGAGGAAAAAAACAGTGGGAATTACAATGGGATTACAGCTAGGAGTTCTCATATTAGGCAGACTTTTGTGTCATATATTTTACGTGGGTGAGCTATAATGACAAGAAATTCTATTTAAATTTGAAAAAAATATTAATTTTTTAATTAAAAAAAATTTTTTTTGTGCTGGTTTAGGCATATTATGGACAAATATGACACTAAAGCCACCAGTGGGTGCATTCAAAAAAATCACACACTTGCCTGCTAAATAGTTTATAACAATGACCTACTTCTGCTAAGTGCATATTTGATGGGCACTTTACAATTATATGAAGCCACACGAGACAATGTATGAATGTAAGTAAAGTGATGCAACTGATGCAGGAAGCTCATGTGATGGTGCATTTGGTACATTCCACTCAGCGGTCAAAAAATATGTTAAGATTTATATGTAGTATGTAGTATGCAGAACTTAATTTCAGACACATTATCTGTCTTCAGTGATTCACTGAATAATTCAACCAAATGGTTTGTTTAAAATGCCTAATTCATAGAAAAACAAGACAGTGAATGGCTGCAACTGCATCATTTTTAATACTTTTGCATGAACTCATTTAGCAGATGCTTTTATCCAAAGTGACTTAGAAGGCAGGATAAAAGAAGTACTTCGAATAATCAGAGAGTATCAGTATATAGATGCTATGATAAGTCTCACTAACGAAATATAAAAGAGATTGTCCTACAGGTAAGTGTTTTGTGACAGCTAAAATTCCATATTCTGAATAGTATATACCAAGTCCGTAGCCAGCCTGGAGAAAAGGGTGGTTCTTTTTTTCTCAAAATGTGGACCTTTTTGCATTTGTTCACTGCATTTTCTCTATTTCATTTAATTAATTTCTATTTGCATTTTAGTGACATTTTAAGCACTATTTTTGGTATATTAGCTTATGGGATGGTCACATAACCAAATGTTTTAATGTCCCAAAATATTTGCTAAAAAGTTACAATAAAGAAATATGAATAAATACTTATTTTTAAAATACAAATATATTACATCATATATCATTAGAAAACAAATCTGTTAAAGTTTCAGATTAACATCTGTAGCCTATTGTCAATTATTAGGCACATAACAAACTGGCCAGCATATTCAACTTTCCTCAATCCGCTTGTTCTTAAAGGCTTTTTTGATGGTTTATTTTTCGCTATTTAAGTCTAAATAGGACAAACGAGTCAATGTTTGGGACAAATTCTGGACCTTTGTCAGTGAGTGGTCTATGGGCTTGAATACATATTACATTTTGTGTGTTGACCAGCATTAGTTGTACTGCTTCATTACTGTTTCATAAATCTTCTGCCTTGACCTTATTGTCATAAAAAGTTTCTGTTGTGTTGAGCTTATTTTTTCCCGTATGAGTGGGTGCAGCCATTGTAACCTTATTGGCTCCGGACTTCTGGTCTTAATCCCTTTCACTGATTTGAAGCCATAAAAACTGCTCCATTATGCTGCTTTTCCTATTTTATTATTTAATGTATTGTCCTAAAAACTTTTGTTGGCTGAGGAAGTAGATTTACCATTATATGGTGTTTGTTACTCCTAGTTATTTCCCCAATAGGCAAATGAATCGGAACTCCTACAACAATTGATGAGTTTACTTCCACGTTGCAGAATAAGGTGAATATAGAATTTGCTACATTTTGCCTATTGCCTTATGTGAATTCAGACATAATTCGTCTGCAATATATTGATCTTTGCCAAAAAATAGTAGCTGAAAATGTGATATAGGATGAAGCCACTATTAATGGTTCATTGAGAGGCGTCTGGATGCAGACCGGGTGCAGTTGCATGTAATGCTTTAAACGCGCATACCTAACCCTACTCCTCACAGTAACATCAGTAGCTCCACTGAATGCATTGTGTCTGACATTGCAAGTCTGAGATATGCAGTCTCAGATTGCAAATATGTGTTTGGTTGCGGCTGAAAGAGCATCTGCTACGTAAGTTAGCAGATTATTCCGCTGTGGTGACCCCTAATTAATAAAGGGACTAAGCTGAAAAGAAAAGTAATGAATGAATGTTTATAGACGGGGGTAGAGAAAGTGTTTCTACATGTGGTCTTGGCTTTATTCATCAGGGTTAAGGTGCTCTTGGAAGAGATGGGTTTTTAATTGTTGATTGAAGGATACAAGTGAACCTGTGTGTGAATGGAAATATCATTCCACCAGCATGGAACATTGAATGAAAAGGTTTTGGAAAGTGGAAAACGTATGGCCTCTTTGCTATGGTACCATTATGATGTTATTGTTGGCATTGCACACATTAATTGTTGAAACATTTTGACCTCTGCATTTGGCTGTTACCTGTAGGTACTCCGACCTGCTCTGAGCTTCTGCCTTCTCATTCTCTGCCCTATGAATAGCCTTCAGAGCCTTCTTTTCATACTCCTCCCTCTGTTTTTCCATCTTCAGCACTATCCTTTTCACTCCATCCTGAGGAATCTTCTGAAAAATGACAAATTGCATCTCTGTTTTTAGTTTTTTGAAGGGCCTGAATTTTTTACAACCAACTTTTGCCATTCGTACAAACCAGTTTTTTAAATGCATAAAAATATTTTAATCAACTTTAGTTTGTGATCTGATTTGAAGTGCTTTGATGGTAAAAGATTCAAAAAAGTAATTTATATTTGTTTTGAACACATTTTTCGCATTGTAATTCTCACAGCATGCGCTTGAGCTGTTGCAGAAATGCGGCGTTGCCGTTTTACCTTGATGCAGACCTGCAGTTGAGCCTCAAGAGCTTTAATCTTACTCTTCAACACGTCCTCATCACAGCGTGTCTGTGGGAGGAAAAGGAAATGTGTGTGTGCACTAGTGAGACAACCACTGAAACAAGAGTTTTTGTTACATGCAGAGTTTTTGTACATACTGCATCCTGTGTCATAACTGCCATCCTCAGATTTTGTTAAAAGCAAAATATAAATTGTCTGTACAATTCTATATTGTTTGCTACATAGCAAAGACTATAGAATACTTAAAGAGACTTTGTTTATACTCTCTTGAGAGATATGAGTGTGCTCCGTGTGTTCAGTATGGAACAATGTAACAGTTTTGGTGTGGGTGAGTTTGAAGCATTCCTGCAATGCAAACACACTTCTCTCTGACACCTACACCTCTCTCCATATCATTTGTGAAAAAGAAAAAAAAAAACATTTATATTTTTCTGAACAAGCCATAAGGAGCCGAATGCTGTCAACCACATGACCATCCCCCAAACGCTGTCTACAACACTTATGTTATCAAACCAGGAAACACTGCCATTGCTGGAGACAGCATTGTGCAGAACGACAACACTGCATGAGTAATTGAAAACTGACCAATAAGAGCTGTCCATTTTTAAAACACTCAACTCCACACGTAGCTGATTATGTTCTTCATCTTGATTTCTAACGCTCAATGTATTAGATTATTGATATTAGACTGTAGGCAGGTCTTTGCGTGAATAATGCTGCTGGGTTTCAGCAGGAAGTAGTTTAATAATATACCTTCCAGAGGAGCTCTGTAGAGTGCAGTAATGTAGCGGCACTCTTCTGGAGGTTGGAGAGCTTCTTTTTAAGAGCCTCCTCTCTTTGTAAGGCCTCCTGCATGGAGATGTCAGATTTCATAATATCAGTTACTTATTTCAAAGTAAGTCAGAAGAGTTGGTTTTAAAATATGAATGCTAATGCTATCGTTTCCCATACCTCTAAGTAGTCAGTCAACTGGTTAACATCCTGAAGAAAAAAACAAACATTAAACATATGAATTGCTGTATTAATGAATAAAATAGTGTGCATGTATGCAACCTTTTTTTTTTTACAATGTATCTGAGAATAACAAGTTTTTTAATAAGCAGCATATTCCTTACCGCTTCTTTGACGGTAACGAATCCAGACCTGAAAGAACAGAGTGAATATTACAGTATTAATATTTATAAAACTGATGCAATATGGTTGAATTTAGGATTTTGACATATTGAACCCCAAGGGCAGACTGTCTGTAAAACTTTGAGCAGAAAATATAGTAAAAAGCAATATGAAGGAACTCACTCAGTCTGAATGCTGGCCGTCTGTAATGTCTTCTGGAAGTTTGAGAGCTGAGTAATGTCTTTAAGGAGAACTGTAAACACAAACGTACATTATTATTATAACTAATATATATTATGGCATGTCCTGCCACACAATACAAAACACTTTTGAATGCTTTTTAGAGAAAAAAACACATGTTTTTAAATGTTTTGCTAGAATCAATAGAATTGGATGCAAGTATCTGCTTTAATTAAAGCCACGTTAGGGCCTGATTTTGGTCATTGATTATAAATTCCACTTACCTCGCTCCTTTTTCACTTTCCCCCGAAGCTGAACAGAACTGAGGCCCGGAATTTCCCATACATCTGATCTCAGCTCATTTTCCTCATTCTTGAAAGATGTAGAGACCTTTAGAATTTAGACATTTGATTTCATTGGTAATATGAGGATGCAAGCAATATGCCACTTTTTCAGTTACACTTTTGATGGACCCCTTTAGACATTCTGTTGACTAAGTAGCTTTAGACAGTGAGGGCTGGGAGAATAAGTTGGCATGTGTGTGCAAAGATAGTAGATAGCAGAATGTCTCTTGGGAGACAATTTACAGTAAATAAAGTGTCAGCAAATATTAAGTAAACAGTCTACTAATGTTTACTAGTTGACGATGTCTCAGACAGAGGATCATCCAAATAATTCATTACAATTACTTTAATTTACAGCTCAAAATGAGTAGCTATTATTTGAGTCACATCAGCCACTCTCTTAAAAAATAGATTCCTCTTATAAATAGTCATTGATAAATAGTCCATTTAACCCTTTCTATTCAACAAAAGGTAATTTATGGTGTAAAAATATTCCTTGGATTGTTTAATTGTTAAAATTGAACTGATTACTATTAAAATGCAGGGTTGGTTAACCTTAAAATGCTTATAAAATATGAACAAACCCAACTGCTGGGTTACATTTTTAAATTTAATTTATAATCTAATGGTTGGGTTTGTCTATATAACCAAATTTGGGCTGATTGAGCATTTTTAGAGTGTAAGAATTATTCTATAAAGTGCTGTTCACTTAAAGGTTTGTTGTGGGACCAAAAACGTGGAACCCAGAAAATCTGAGCGTAAACTAGAAAATCTGTTCAGCAATCAGTAACAGGACAATGGTAACTCTGTACCTGCTTTGCCAAGGTTATGCCATCTCTCTGAAGCTTTACATTTTGACTTGTTATCAAGGGCCGTCTGATTGACGTTAAGGTGTGCGTCATATGCTGTGTGGCATGCAGGGTTTCCCTTGGGTATCTGCGCCTTGGCACTGGAGATAACAGTGAGCATGTACCATGGTCCACAGGTCTTCTTTTGAAGAACTCAGACTGTCTTTTGAGATGCAGTTCATTTTTCATCTGCCTTGTGTCCAGATCTCTGGTGGGACTGCGACATGTCGTTGTGTTATTCCGGTGGCTGATTTCTCTGTGCTTCATGGCACGTTGCTCCACTTTATACTCGTAATTTGCTATTGGTGACCTTTTGTTTTCAGGAGCACTTTCCATTTCTTTCTGACTTTGAGCGAGTTGAAGAAAGTGTGATATTTTAAGGCAGGCACTGGAATGTCACCTTATGATGTAAATGAATGCTTCTTGCAATGGCAGTTTCCTGTAATTGAAAACAACATACTTTAAATCCATCCTCAAGTGCTACTATATCATTAATCCTCTAAAACATATCAACATCAAACATTTTAAATTCTAAATTCAACATACTGTAAGATGAAGTGCGGCCAGTCATTCACTTCTGTTGTCATATTGTTTCAAAACCGGCTACAGCTACATGTAACTGAAACAAAAAGTTGGAACCATCGGTGATTCGTTTGAATGCAAACGTTTTCTTCAATATGGATGTAATAGTTTTATTATCATAGGAAAATGTTTTTAAAACAAAGTGATAGTTTACAATGCTCGATGTACAGTTTTGCAACAATTTCAGACACTAGATTTACTAAAAAATCTAAACTACTTTTCAATCCTTTTCATTTGTTTAGTAACCTTTAAGTATTTTTGTTTTAAAATGTTAACAAGGTGGAACCATAAACAGTGGAGCTCAATAACAAACATGCATTCAAACAGATAACCCAACACAGAATCCAAGCTCAAGATAAAACTATAACATTTAGCATATTTGTGTCTTTAAAAGAAAAGTACCTGTTCCTAGAGTAGTCGCTGGAGTTGAAATAATTGTGAAAGCTGAGTCTGAACACTTTGAAGCTGACATGGCACTTGAAAACTAGTTCATTCAACAAAGGGCGGTCTATTTCTTTTTGCCTTGCTTGCTTAACAGGAAGTAAGTTGAACCTCACAACTTGTACAAGTTCCTCTATCTCAGCAGCCATGCGTATTGAAACTGGTGCCACACACGGATGGGCCCTAAGATTAGCACTGAGGGGAGGTCATTAGCTGCAGCAATAGTGACGGGAGGGACTGTGGGGGGAAAGACAACAGAAAATAGACATTCAGTGCAACATCAATAGCAAGATTTATAACATCAAGCCAAGTTCTTGGCTGATTAAAATAAATGAAGACGAGAAACATTTAATGCAAGATGAAATAGGTGCAGAAACAGGATGAATGATAAAAAGAGATGAATTAATTTGAAAGCTTGTGTTCTGTGTGAACATTTTAATACAATTTTGATGGCATCTAAGAATCAAAATAAACAATGTTTTTATATGAAGACACATTGACATTCTGACATTATCATCTCAAAAAAAGATACCATAATTAAAATATTAATAGAAACCTCAATAACTCTTGAAAACAACTTGAAAATGCCAGCACAGGATTTATTGCTGGCTCCCTGTCAGAGTTCATAAAAAATAAATAAAGAAATAAAGAAATAAACTTTTTTTGTGCGTGACGACCTATTGAAATGCATTCAGTCTAGTGATTTAGATATTTACTACTATCATTAAATGTTCAAAAATGTTAATATAACCAACTTGAAAGAATCAGCGTTCTTGTTAATGCTTCATGGTACAATGTCGCCATCTGCTGGCTCCCCGTCGCTAACGCATTGAACTTCGGGTAGACGCCATGTTTGGAGAATGTGCTAACCGTTGTTATGGTTATTTTTACTGAGAGAAAGCGTAAGCTGTCAATATTTGTTTACACTTGACGATACAACGCAGTTCCTTTATTAGAAATAGATAAGGAGAAGGCAAAAGTAAAGTGTATATACCCGGGAGAAACTTAATACGACACGGTGACTCAGTGGCCTCACAGGAAGAGTGTTTCGAGTCCCGGCTGGACCAATTGCTATTTCTGTAGTGGAGTTTGTATGTTTTACGTTACCCATGCTGGCGTGGGTTTCCTCCGGGTTCTTCGGTTTCCCCCACAGTTTAAAGACATGCAGTGTAGGTGAACTGAATAATTCAAATTGGACGTAACAGTTAGTGTATGAGTGTTAATGAATGTGGATGGTTGTTTCTCAGTACTGGGTTGCAGCTGTGTAAAACATGCAGGATAAGTTGGCGGTTCATTCCACTGTGGCAACCCCTGATGATAAGGGATTAAGCCAAAGGAAAATTAATGAATGATTCAGCCTGCAACTGGATGGAAAGGTGCATCTGACTAAAGCTTATAATCAGTACTACGGCCAGTAACATCTGTGATTGAAATGACAGTTGTTTCATTTTTCCAACACATTATTCCACTGCGAAACATTATTGCCTGGACTACTGTTTTGCTATACTAACATATTTAATTTTGTGTTTACATAAAGTATTTTATTTAGAAATAAAAATACAAGTCATATTTACACATTTCAAATGTTTATTTAAAAAAAAAAAAGATCATAATCTTAGAGATTTTTAAAAAAAATCTTTAGGTAATTTGACTTTGGCACACATCATACATACACTTGCTCTAATTGTAATTTAAACTGGCAATATTATTAAATATTATTTCACTTTTTTTCATACAAATTCTAATGTCGGCTTTATAATAAACTTTATTTTCATGTAGATTTTATATTCATAAATGTACATTTTCAAATTGCAAAACAGTTTTCAGCATTATTGCAAGAAATTAAAAATTACTTACAATTCCACATTCACTTAACAAGAAAGCCCTCAAAACATATAATTAATTTGTACAATCTATTAAATCTCTAAATCACTTTCATCTTTTTGTTATTATTTTGGACCACTCACTCTCAATTTCTTTATCTATTTCATCTATCCTCAGATCAGATAACCCTTTGATTGTTCTTGTTTTATTTTTTGTATCGGTACCATAGTAAATAATCTAATGATTAATTTAGTGAACATGCCAAATGTAGCCTATCTACGAAACCAGCCAAATCTGGAGCTTATCTAACAAAATAATTTACGATAACAGTCCAAACACTAGTACACTCAAATTTATATGTTATAGAAATATATTAATTACAAAATTTAAAAAGAGGAAAAAATCTAAATAAGCAAAAAATGGAAAGATTTTGTTGAAATTTAAGAGTTTGTAGTTGTTGTTTTGTTTTTTGCAATATTTTACTTGAATTTAATTGTATTTTTCAATTTTTCAATATGTTCGGTGACTAAAATTTCATTTGAATAAATATATCTATTTAGTAAATCTGTTTTGTTAATGCACCAAAATACATTGCCTATAAGGCAAGCCGTTTTGACATTTAATCTATAGCCCATACTATCGATTTAATAAGTACTCATATCTGATTAATACACACTATATTTATTAAATAGATATTAGTACTAATGAATAAGTAGGTCTTTGCTACTATCTAATACACAAGTACTAGTATCTATTAATTAGGTACTAGTACCTAATGGTTAAGTACTAGTATATAAATAGTTCCATCTTGATTACATACTAGTCAAAACTGAATAGTTAACATCTCAATGGCAAATTCTGTAGAAATTAATGGAATTTTTTTATTTGTTACAAGTAACAACAGAATAATTACTAGTCATTATTAAAATAAGTAATAGTATAATAAATAAGAACTAGTATCTATTTAATAAATACTTGTATCTAATGAATAAGTAATAGTAACTATTAAATAGGCTAGATACTATTATCTAAAACATAAGTACTAGATTATATTTAATATATACTAATATCTAATGAATGAGTACTAGTTTCTAATAAAAATAACTAGTGTTTTATCAGTAAGCACTATGTTTTAAAAAGTAGTAGTATCTAAAGATTAGGTACTACCTAACAAATAAGCATTAGTATCTAGTACTTAATGGACAATATACTAGTATTAGATACTAGATACCCTAAAAAATAAGTACTAGAAATACGAAAATAAATACTAGATGCTTTATTATGCTAAAGTGTTGCCATCTGCTGTCAGGGTTTACGTTAACTACGTAAGTTACGTTACTCCACTGATGGACTCTTACACATCGATAAACAATGCTTCTCTTGACGACTTTATCATTAATGCGTTCAGGCATTGTCTATCATCACATAAAGGTCCAAATATTAATGGCAACGACTTGCAAGTGTCGACGCTTTTATTTTTAATTATTAGGCGCTGTGGACTTAAGAGTCTCCCGGATGTGGCAGACGCTGGTTCCAAAACATCTCGCGATAGAAGCGCTGAGAGTTTCTCATCCTTGGTCTAGAAGGGCACAGAGAGCCCGGTGCAGAGACGTTTCAGCCGGGGATCTTGACATTTAACCGTAAAACATGTTGTCGAGGCTGGTGCTCGTCTCAGGTGAGTAGTTTATCAAATGAAAACTATTCTAACAGTTTAACTGATTGTGCGTATTAACTAGAAGGTTTTAAGGACGAATGTGAAGTTGAAGGGTAAAACTGAAGGCCGCACGCTGTGAACGGCCGCACATGAATGCATAGAGAAACAATTTTACTCCTTTGAATCTATATTCGCTTCGTAATAACGTAATGAATCAATGAGATGTTGATTTTATGCTCAGGCACTCATTTATGAATGAGAAAGATTATGAAGTTGTTGAGTTTTCAGAGTGCCCTTGTATTCAGTTGTAGCATTAGCTTTCAGCTAATAACTGCAAATTCAGTTTGCGGAATGTGTGGAATAATGTTGATGGTCACGTGTTGGGATATGTTTTAAACATATTTTATCAATGCAAATTGTGTATGAGATTGAACTATATTTGCATTATCTTATAACTCGATGAGAGTGACAACTTACCAATTTGTATGCAAGGACGTTTATTTCATTAAGTTTTCTTTATGCAACAAAGTCGATATAAAAAAATAAAGTAAAATTATGATAAATATTGTATGTTATTATTTAGTTAATGACATGTAGACATACTGTTTCAAATGTAACAGTTATAGTTTATTCATGCATTCACAAGGATTCCATTCACTTCAGCCAAATCATTGATTCTTCTGATAACGTTTACATAGTTTTATCTAATAAACGAGATTACTAGGCTCTTTCTGTCATTTTGATTCAAATGATTGTGACATGTTTATTAACATTTACAAAAGCACTGATATGTTTCTTGATTATTTCTTGCAGGCCATTCCCTGAAAAACAGCGGGTCTTTTGGTGCTTGGTATGCATATCTTTTATTCATGTGGTCAATACTCGGAGAAAGTGACACTGAGTAAAATCTGTTGACCATGTGTTTGCTTTCTCTACAGCCTGGTCCAGGCCCCTCGCTCCTTTCATCAGTCATCCCAGAGTCTTGCACCAGTACCCCCTCTACCAGAGAAGGGAGGAAAGGTCCGTCATGGCATCTTCCCTGAGGAGATTTTCACAATGTTGTACCCCAAGACTGGTGTGACAGGTGGGTTTATCAGCTTTATTTTTTCCTTTCTTAAGGGCCAGTCGCACTACAATTTTAAGTCATTAAAGCAGGAAACAAAAGCTCATGTGAAAATTGCAGCATGCTAACCTTGAAGTTCTGTAAACTCTGATATGTGGAGAAATATAAAATAAAAGAAGATCAGCATGGTCTCTTAGTTGAATGAAAGAATGATTTATATCTGCAGAAATTAAACATTGTGCAAATCACACATTTGCATTTTACATTAAAAAGTGCCACAAAGTGTAATGCAATTTTACTATTGTACTATTTTATTATACTATTATTTATTGTTGATTATTTAATAGGAATAGGCATAAAACTATCACAATATTTTCTGGTATGTATTGCAATAATAATATCAATGATGATTCATGTTTTCCATTGAGAGATTAAAATAGGGCCTGTATCTTTAGAGAAATATTATTGCGTTAAGAATTAATTATATTTATAATGCAATGCTGTACATTTAATTATGTAATCTATCCTAGTTTTTATCCCAGAATAAGGGAAGTTTTTAAACTAATTTCGAGAGGAGCACTTGATATAATTGACTGCAGCTGGCCGCCTATCTACACTCATTAATTAGCCAATCAGATCTATACTAACTTACTATAAGTAGCCTAGCTAGATATTACTCCCTTATCTTCGTTTTCCGAAGAAACCCCCCATCCACCCCCTTTATCCTCCTTTCCTCCTTTACAAAAAGGGGAGCTCTCAAGAACCACCTGATCTCGTACTCCCCTCACATGCTCTATGGACCTGGTGGGAGCCCTGGGCTCAACTATCTCCGAGCTCAGGGTTCTCTCCCGGGACAGCATGCCAAACCTGCTAACAGCTGTCACGCAATATCTAAGTGTGAACTCTTGAAAACCTAGTTAACCCTTTAAACAAGGTTTTATATCTGTATGGATTATATCAAAACTTTAACATGCAGAATAAACGAATGACCTGCTGACACAGATCAAAATTAGCCCAATTTTTTGGGAAAACTGCGAATTTGACAACACTGATGACACCAAATAAGTGTCCCAATCTCAGAACACTTTTAGAAATGTGAACTGAGCTTCTCAAAGACGAAAATATAATGTTTCTGTGCAAAATAACACACTCCTACTCTTTACTCTAAAACACGAAACGCTCAATATTTAACTAAGGGGATGCGTTATATATCCCCTATATCCCCAATATTTAACTATTTGGGATGCGTTGACACACAGTCATATTTCGCCGAACGGATCCGCCACTTTTGACGCTCATAAACAGTCGAAAAGTTTATGTGCTGCAGGAATTAGGAAGTTTGCTGAAGGCGCAGCTGTGGTACAGTGAGGGGTTTGCTTCTTTAATAAACTACGACAGTTTGCGTTCATTAAACAGTGAGAATGATTCAGCACACTCACACTTTTCAAACGTTCCGGGAAACGGGCCTGGGCACGTTTCGGATAGCATATTGAGAGTAGGCCTTAAATCTCTCTTAATTTTGTGTATCATTCATTCATTCATTTATTTATTTTCTTTTAGGCTTAGTCCCTTTATTAATCTGGGGTCGCCACAGCGGAATGAACTCCCAACTTATCCAGCACATGTTTTTACGCAGCGAATGCCCTTCCAGCTGCAACCCAGCACTGGGAAACATCCATACACACTCATTCACACACACACTACAGACAATTTTATCTTACCCGATTTACCTATACCACATGTCTTTGGGGGAAACTGGAGCACACGGAAGAAACGTTGCGTTAGGAGTTGATTTTAAAAAAATAAAACTTTCATAAATAATATAAATGGTTCTTGTTAACTTTCAGCTGCATCTGTATCCCTTCTAGCAACAACCAGTTTGCAGCTCTACCCTCTGAAGATTTTTTACAAGGAGATTATTGTGTATGGTGTGATTGTAACAGTTGCGTTGTCTTCTGATTTCAGGGCCTTATATGCTTGGCACTGGCCTGCTCCTCTACCTGCTGTCTAAGGAAATCTATGTAATCAATCACGAGACCATTGCTGGTGCATCCATTGGTGCAGTCATCATTTACGCCGTCAAGAAGTTTGGGCCCAGTGTAGCTGCCTTCGCTGACAAACTTAATGCGGTTTGTAACATTTTGCGTTTTACCAAACAGTTACTTAACTTTAATTATATTGAATGACACAGAGACACATGCACTCTGAAAAATGTGTCACTCTGCACAGTTAACTTACAGACTATTTGAGGGATGTATTTGGGGACTTTAACTTAAAACTCTCTTCCTTTTCAGGATAAAATAGCAAAGGCTCAGGAGGTGAAGGATCAGTCTATGGCTAGTTATGCTCAGGGCATTGAAAACGAGAAGAAGGAGCAGTGGAGAGTAGAAGGAAGAAGCATGCTCTTCGATGCCAAGAGGGTGAGAAGCATTTTCATGTAGAACTATTTGCACCTAGAATGGTGCTAGGTGTAGTTTTCTGATGTCTTTCATCCAATCTTCCATCAGAATAACGTGGCTATGCTGCTGGAGATCAACTACAGAGAGCGTCTGCACATGGTGACCAATGAGGTGAAGAAGAGGCTGGACTATCAGGTGGAGCTTCAGAACCTGCACCGCCGCATGGAGCAGGAGCACATGGTGAACTGGGTGGAGCAGAGTGTGGTCAAGAGCATCACACCACAGCAGGTACAAGAAATACTTGCTGTCACTTTGTTGTATTTATAGTCAGGGGAGCACATACCTGGAGCACATGTGGGATTAAAATATAAAGTTGGACCAAATTTGGTGTTAGAGAGGTCTTGTTTTTGCACAACTTTAGGAGGGAAGGTCTCTCTTCTTTTTAGTTTGAACCTTTCCATAACGATCATAATAAATAGGCTCGTGCACTAAGTGTTACCATGCTGAAAACAAGGTTCAATGTTGTACATACATCAGCCAGTAGATTGATTTAAGTGAACTGGGGTTCAGAAGTTAAACCACTGTGAACACAGTCCAGCATAGGCAGGGTGAAAAGTGTCAGTCAAACTCTGGACCAACCCAGGCAATAGAGTCGAATACATACCTCATTTGTAGAAATATGAAATGCGCCAGTATATGCAAATCACACTAAAACTGCATTCAAAAGTTCATGTTTGGATTTCAAAGATTGACAATAGACATAAAAGATTAAGTAATTTACATGAATTAATGAACAAACAAACAGTACAATTACCTATTAATATTTACAGGTTCTACTTTGAGAACCAGACCAAACAAAAAAGTTGTGCACCCGTCTTTTTACCTCAGTAAAAGAGTCAATTCACAACACATTTCACACACACACAGTTTTATTATAAATAAATCAAGGCTTGACATTTTTTTTAATTGCATGCCATTTGTAGGCATGGGCCGGTATAAGGTTGTGACAGTATGATAATCTTGGGTAAAAATATCACTGTTTCACGGGTTTCTGCTCCTAAATAAGTTCTTTTTAAATGTCTGGGTAAAAAAAAAAAACTTTTTTTATTTTAGGAAATATTTAAATATTTTGGACCGGTAGCTTTTGATGTAAAAGTTTATTTTCTGCTGAAAATACTGTTGACCTAAATAACTAAATAAAATAGTTGTGTAGAACATGTAAAAAAAAAAACTGAAAAACTTACATATATCTTATGAATGATATAACTAAAAACTTTGGCGGTTTCAAACCCTTTTTCTAAACCGCGCTATACCTTTAAACAGGTTGTCGTCCCATGCCCAACCATTTATAATTTTTGTTTTATACTTATTTCATAATTTTTCTTGTTCTGAATGTTGTAACATTTAAAAAAAATCTTTTTACTGAGGTAATAAATTAAAAGAAATTAAGGCTGAGAAGCTAAACAAGTTTATTCAAAACCAAAGCAAAATGACCTCCTTTTAAATTGATATTGGTTTGGTTTTAAACTAATTTTGATATATTTTATGGGAAACATGACTTTTTCATTTGTTTGTAAATTTGTAAAATATCTCTTAGCGATGCAATCTCAGCTTGCATCATAAAAGCTGCATCCAGATACTATCGCAAGTGGGAGTTGATATCTACTAGAAGTACGATTTTAGTTTGGCCTCTAGATGGAGTCTTTGTTCTTCAACATTTCAGCTGGTTAAGAGTGTAGTTGAAAAAATGTGGACAGAAAATCTAGAACTACTAGCAACTGACCAATATCACTTCCAAACTCTGAATACACAACTGTCTTCGAAAGTTTATGTTGTGAAGTTGATCAAATGATTTGGCTAAATTGGCGCAAAAAGTTGTTTCTTATTCAATACATTAAAATTATAATAGGTACACTGTTAATAAAAGTGCCCTATTAGATCATCTTTAATAACTACAAACATTTATTCTCTAACACTTGTTGCTTTCTTGGTCTAATCTCATTTTTCATTTGTTGTTTTTTTCTTTCAGGAGAAGGAGAGCATCGCCAAGTGCATTTCAGATCTGAAGGTCCTGGCCAAGAGCACTCAGGCTAGAGCTACAGTGTAAATCTGTGTCAGTTTTCATCCTAAATGAACCTTTTCCTCGTCAACACGCCAGACTGGCAGTGTCGTCAAAAATGTACATACCCGTAATAAATAAAAGATTTGGTTATTCACTAAATGTGCTTCCTGTTTGTCTTTAACATTTTGAAGATGTCCAGCTCTCTGTCTTGCAGTTTTATGTAGCTAAGAGGTGTCATTTAGATGAGTTTAATGACTAAACAAATTAAGCCCCAAAATGTGTCATTTCAGGTCTTTTAGATAGCAAAGCGTCAAACTGTGTGGCATTTGTGACGCTTCACATTCAGTACATGCCAACCTTTTTCTTTTAAAATCCATCCTGTTTGGTTTATGATTTTTATCTACTACAGCAACAAGCTTTCGATATGATGTAAGTGTTGAAATGCATTTTGGATCATAGCATGCCACTTTGTTGTAGACGTCAGAGCTGTCTAATAATGACCATACCTTTGAACTCAAGAATATAAATGGAAAACCTGCTCTTACCTTTTACAATAATTCAGGAACTAGACTTTGACCCCTGTTTTTCCCAAGCAGGAAGTCCAGAATATTTGCTTTAGTGCACTTCACGGACTTAAGGATATGTCAAATCTGGAGGAAGCTCAACCTACATTTGAGGATTTGCAGTTAAAACATTAGGATTTTCTCGAAGGTAATGTGAAATAATTGTGTTAATTACAAGGTCTGTTTTAGTGGTATCTTTTTTTTATATATATATTTATAATCAATGAGTGTAGTGGCTGTATACAGGCTCACATACAGATTGAGAATTATTTAATTGTGTTATTTTAAACTAGTGGTAATGTATGTGTTCTCTCATTTTCGTAGTTCATTCTATAGTGTATGACTTATGATGTTTTCCTGTAAAGCCACAAGCACAAACTTGTTAAAGAAAGATCCAGCGTTATGTTGTCAGCACTTTTTTTGCGGTTTACTTAATTCATTACTGGACACTTGTCTGTTTTTGAGTACATAAGAGTCTTTCTTCAATAAATGTTGTTTATATGATAACTGCTCCAGCGTGATTGTGCTGTGATTTTGTCACAGTTTAATGGCTTCACTCAGTTATGACTTTGTTTGAGAGACTATTTTGAACTACAGGTCAAAATAACACTATCATTAAACATTATTTTTAATTTTAAAGTTTGTATGACCAAAGCTTCTTTTTAGTATCTCACAAATTAGCTAAAGAGTTCAATATTATTTCATTTGGTAAATCAAATAAAAATCAGCTGAACACAGCCTTGGCTCAACAAAAGATTTGTTTTACACTTAAATTTTAATTATTTCAAGCTTTTGTACATTTACAAAATATTCACAACTTTTCTGTAATGGAATTGTAAGACCTATAAATCATAACTAGACCCACTCGGAATAAGCGTGTGCAGGAATCCGCAGATCTGTAGCCCATTGTCGGGTCTTTGTATTTACTTGTGTAAGTTTTATATTTATTCATTTTTTTAGTAATATCACCAATATTGTTGTAATATAACTATAGTAATATTAAAATGTTCATATGATTTTTTTACAATACAGTTTGTAAAGTAATATGCTCTGTCTTTTAGTAGAGATATTAAATGAGAGATTTGCTTTGTTTAACAGATAAATGGATCTAATTGGATTTGCATTGTATACGCTTAAGTTAAAAATGTATATTTTTTAAATATTATTTATTATGTTTTTAGTTCTGATACTCCTAAAATCATTCCACATGAATCTGCATTTTTTTTTATTTATTTTTTTTTTACAAAATTGTCAATTATTGATTGGTTTAAAACATTTGTGTATATTTTCTTTAAGGGACAGTTCAACCAAAAAATTAAACATTTCCCACATTTACTAATCCCTAATCCTAACTAATGTCCCAGACATTTAGTATCTTTTTTATTACATTTTAAACATACTATGTTTTAATTTTATATATATTTGCCATGTTGACAATTCATTATATTTTACTAGTATTTTACTATATATGTATATATATATATATATATATATATCAGTATATTGAAGTGCAATTTTGAAGGCTTGACTAGTTAAATTAAGTTAATTAGGCAAGTCATTGGACAACAGTGGTTTGCTCTGTAGCCAATTAAAAAAAAAATAAATAAAGGGGCTAACTACTGACCATAGCAATTTATTTATTGCTATACATTCACTTTATACATACTTATGAAAGAAAATATAACAGAAAATTTTTCATTTTGTCTTTAACTGTCTGACTCAAAATATTATATAATTTGCGACAATTTTAATTTATGCTCACTGTACATAATAAACACAGTCATAAACATTTATCATCCTTTTTTATTACAGAAAACTGGTATTTAAATTTCATTATTTGAAAATTCTGTAAAAGAAATGCTATATAAGTTGATGGCTACCAGTTTCCAACATTCTTTTAACATTTTGTTTTTAACAGAAGAAATAATTTTGATGAAAAATTTTTCAGATTTTGGGTAGACTAAAACTTTAAAAACAATAACTTGTTCTGGTTTTTCTGTTTTTAGAATTTTGTAATACTTGTGCTTTTCTCACATTTGGTGACTAAATGCTTCTCACCATTTTCTGAAAGATCAGTGTTGTCAAACCACTACTGTTGAACACAGGACTAGCAGTCAGCTTAGCATCACATACAGAACTTAATCTGCTGTATTTCTGAATGGTTTTATGACGGATAATATTGTGTTTACAGGTGTTAGACATCACGTTGAAGAATGTATGGGGGTAACCCTGTTTTCCAGCCAAGGTACATGTCCTACTCACCTCTGTCAGTGTTATCTTTTCCTGCATGTGCCAGTGGAATTTGGACTTGAAACCTGTTTAAGGGTGGTTCAGTGTAATACGTCATGCCCTGCCATCTATATCTCTCGAGTAGCAGTTGTCATAACAGCCAAGCAAACAATATTACCTGATTGATGCACTTTTAAAGTTTAATACAAATCACAATTATTGAGAAATAAGTTTTAATTCTGAGGAAAACAAAACATTTCTCATAATACTTGTCACATAATATTAAGTAAACACCTATGAGTTTTTATATATATATATGTATATATATATATATATATATATATATATAAAAATTATTTTTTATTTATTTATTTTTGAGGTGCTTTAAAGCTTTAATATTTTGCATTAAACCATGAAACTAATAATCCGCTGTATTTCAATTTTAGAACGATTTGTCAGCTTGCACAAAAGAGGATTCCCTAGAACTCTTGCAACGGAATTCAATCTAGATATGGAGTTTTGTTTATTTTCACTTGCATTACAGCATTGGGAGTCTTTTTGGCTGTTTACTGAATGTTGTAGCACTAAGTTTACTATAAAAACCTCAACTCTTTATGAGTTTCTTTCTTCTGTTGAACACAAAGGAAGATATTTTGAAGAAAGCTGAAAACCATTGACTTCCATGGTAAGAAAAACAAATACCATGGAAGCCAGTGTTTATAAGTTTCCAACTTTCTTCAAACTTTCTTCTTTTGTGTTCAACAGAAGATAGAAACTCAAAAAGGTTTAAAAAGGAGGAGTAATTTCTGACATAGTTTTCAGTTTTGGGTAAACTATATCTTTAACTGTAAGCTGTAAGAATACTTAAATTTAGAGTGAACTGGGCATAGGGTCGAGGTTGGGCCAGTAGAATAGATTGTTTTCTTTTATTTGGTGACTAAATGCTTCTCACCATTTTCTGAAAGATCAGTGTTGTCAAACCACTACTGTTGAACACAGGACTAGCAGTCAGCTTAGCATCACATACAGAACTTAATCTGCTGTATTTCTGAATGGTTTTATTTGTTCAAACATTTTGTGTCCCATTAATTGTCTGTAATTTTGCATATATTCTTGTAAATATTTATTGTTCTTTCTACATACATATTTTGCACTTATTATGACTATCTTGGTAAATAAACTCACTTTATTGCATTTAGTTAATCATGGTATTTTGTCCCTCACTTATTGATCTTGTGTGTTTGCTTATGTGTTTCACCCAAAATTAATGTTACTCTCCTACCTCTTGACTCAACATCTTTAAAATTGAAACAAAGACATATTGTGTTGTGATTGGTATATTATAGAGGCTTCTCACCTGAGCCATCATCTCAGGGCTCTGGCATGTCTCGTCCCAGTGCTAAATCCATCTACAGTAAGTACAAACCCATTAAAAACATATCCTAAAAAAATAAAATACCATGATTTTAACTTGACTTTGATGCTTTAGTGCAAAGGAAGGAGTATGCAGAATCGATGAGCAGACAAGACAGCTTTCAGTACAGAGTGGAGGTAAAAATGTTATTTAATTTTAACATAACATATTTATATGTAATTATACATAAAATAACTACTTTCTAATATCTCATTTCTTTTGTATTTGCCATGTTGACAGTTCATAATATTTTACTAATATTTTATTTATCAGTATATTGAAATGCAATTTGAAGGTGTACCTAGTTTAATTAGGTTAATTGGGCAAGTCAGTGGCCAACAGTAGTTTGTTCAGAAGCCAAAATCTGAAGGTGGCTATAACTATATTGACAATAGCAATTTATTTATTGCTATACATTTACTTTTTTACATACACTTTAGAAGAAAAATATAACAGAAAATACTGTGGAAAAATATATTTAAACATTGTGGCGTTTAAAATGACTTGGGAAAAATGTGAAAAAGAGTAAAAAATTCACAAGAGGTTTAATAATAATAAAAAAAATCTCTTTGGCAAAAAGTTTAGATAATTTGTGACAATTTTGTTTAGATGTTATTTGTAATGTAATGTAATGTAATGTAACATCTAATATAATATGTATATGTTATTACATATGTAATGTTTTGATAACATATGTAACAAACTCATAATCATAACCTGTTAAGGCAAAATCAACACCCATATGTTATAGGGAAGAACTGACAACCAAGCCTTATCTGTCATATTATAATTCACAGAAACTTAGCTGGACTATTTAATGACATAAGTGTGAAATTCACAAAACCCTTCGCATGATAACCACAGCAATCTCATTTAGTAGTGGATAAACACCTTAGCATGATTCATTAGGTGAAGTTTTATGAACTAATTTTAAGAGGATCACATGCTATAAC